CTCTCTCTCTCTCTCTCTCTCTCTCTCTCTCTCTCTCTCTCTCTCTCTCCCTCCCTCCCTCCCTCCCTCTCTCTCTCTCTCTCACACACACGCACGCATGCACGCACATACACACACAATAATAAAATACATATTTTTTTAATTAAGAAAAGATAGCAAAAACGTAGGAGGGAAGAAGGGGGAAGGAAGGGAAGGAAAGAAAAGTTTAAAAAGTTAAAGTTAAAAGGTCAGGGGTCAATTAGACATGTTAAGTTATTCGGGCAACTGGAGAAGCTGGCCTGGACCAAGGGTGTGATGGGAAGTGTGAAGCAATGAATTAGAATTAGGCCCTGAATGTGTTTTAAAGGTGGAGTCAGCTGGCTTTGTGGTTACCGCATAGATTGGAGTCTCTCATTCTAAGGGTTTGGGCCCACGTGACCGCAAGTATGAATGCCATTAGCACTGTGTGAGCCACAGTGGAACCACAATCAGTCCTGGCCATGCCTCAGGTGAGGGGCTCAGCAGGCATCAGAGTGGGGAGGTTGAGGAAGCAGATGGAGGAGACATCAGGTGCCCAGGGGCCATCCAAGCTGCAGACAGCTGCTCTAGAGGTCTGCAGGGGTAGGGCCCAGCCCTCAGCCAGGCTCCAGGGGCCACTAAGCCAACCCCAACCTCTCCTGCCCTTCAGTCCATCATAGGCAGTGGAACCTGGGAGGCCATCAGCACAGAAACACCCATCAAGTCCCCAAGATTCGCCCTCCTGGACTTGGAGAAGGGGAAATCGTATGTCTTCAGAGTGAGAGCCTTGAACCAGTACGGCATGAGTGATCCCTCAGAACCCAGCGAGCCTGTCGCCCTGAAGGGCAAGCCAGGTACCAAGTAACGCTGTTTCGTGGCAGACTCTCTAGACTGTCAAACCTGGGCTCAGAACGCAGGCTTCAGCGGGGAGCCTTTCCTGCGCCCCTGCCACTGCACCTGAAAAGCAGCATGGCCTCCAGCCAATGACGTTTTGAAATCCTGTTTCTCTGGGCAGTAGGCTTGGGGAGGGATGGGCGTTCTCCCCAGATGAATGGTTCACAGGTGACAGAGTCCAGCTGGCACTGAGTGTGAGCGAATGACCCTCAGTCCTAAGGTCTCTGCTGAGCCTCTTAAATAGGTAGACTTCCTACACAGGCTCCTGCTTTCTCCACAGTGGCCAGACCATGTGAGAACTGGCTCTCCAGGCAGAACTAGTGTGGTCACTTGCCAAGCTCACCCTTCTGGGGGCCCTGGTGACTGTCTCCCCACCAACTTGTGACTCCTCCTGAGTCCCCCATGGCAGCTCGATCTTACCCTAATTTCTCAAGGCCTCCCTTCTTCTAAAGCCTGGATTCCAAGGTTCTCCATCCTTTGAGGAGATCAGATCTGAAGGCTCCCTGGAATAGCCATCATCTTGGAAAGCTGTCCCAGAAAAATCTGGTGGCTGCCTGGAGAGAGCATCAGAGCCCTAGGTTTGCCTTGCCTCAATCACACACACACACACACACACACACAAACATATATAAACTATATACATTTATATGGAAATTATACATATATATGTGTCTTAGTCATTGTTCTATTGCTGTGAAGAAATACCATGACCAAGAAAACTCTTACAAAAGAAAGCATTTAACTGGGGGCTGGCTTACAGCTTCAGAGGTTGGTCCATTATCACAGTGGCAGACAGCATGGCAGCACACAGGCAGACATGGTGCTGGAAAGAGCCTGGGCCTGGCATGGATTTCCAAAACTTCAAAGCCCACCCCCAATGACACACTTCCTCCAACAAGTCCATGCCTCCCGATCCTTGTAATCCTTCTCAAACAGTTCCTCTCCCTGGTGACTGGCATTCATCTCCATCAGCCTGTGGGGGCCACTCCCACTCAAAGTGCTGCAGTCCATGTACCTGTGGCACATATGAATGGGTTAGTGGGCAATTGGTATTTTCCTTTGATCCTGGTCTCATCAACACTTCCCTTTGATTATGGGCCTCACCTAGGAACGGTTTGTGATTAGATCCCACAGCAGCTAGACCAGGACGAGACACTGGTACAATTCAGGAAAAGAAAGTTGAGAAGGGAGAGAAAAACAAAAGACATTTCTTTGTATCATAAAAGTAAATTTTATGCCGGGTGGTGGTGGTCCACGCCTTTAATCCCAGCACTTGGGAGGCAGAGGCAGGCGGATTTCTGAGTTCGAGGCTATCCTGATCTACAGAGTGAGTTCCAGGACAGCCAGGGCTATACAGAGAAACCCTGTCTCGAAAAAACAAAAACAAAAAACAAAAAAAAAAAAAGTAGACTTTACTGTATAAAGAGAGAGAGAGAGAGAGAGAGAGAGAGAGAGAGAGAGAGAGAGAGAAGTAAAGAAGAAAGAGAAGAAGGGATAGACAAGGAAGAGAGGCCAGGAGGAAATGCCCCTCTCCTCATGGCTCCTCCTGTGAGGGTCACAACAGTGAGCACCGAGATCATCAACTTCTACCCACTCATCCATCTCAGCTACCACACACTCACATACCTGCATACATGCACACACACACACACTCACACACCTGCATACATCCACACACATACACACACTCACACACCTGCATACATGCACACACACACTCACACACCTGCATACATGCACACACACACACACTCATTCGCCCTGCATACATGCACACACACACACACACACTCATTCACCCTGCATACATGCACACACACACACACTCACACACCTGCATACATGCACACACACACACACACTCACACACCTGCATACATGCATACACACACACTCATTCACCCTGCATACATGCACACACACTCACCCACCCACCCATATATGCATATATACACACACAGCCATTCGTCCTTCTACCATATATGAATTTATACCTTCATATATACATACAAACATCTGTCCATCCGTTTAACAAGTCACAGAAGTCCCAACTCAAGCGACTTGGTCATTGGTAATCATAAAAATCAGTACAGAAGTTTCAAGAAAAGAATATCAAGTTGTTTTTAGGGGCTTTGTTTTTAAGACTGAAATTAAGGACTGGGAAAAGCTGTCCAAATTGGAAAAGGTTAACTGGGAAGGAAGGAGGGAGGGAGGGAGGAAGGGAGGGAGGGAGGGAGGGAGGGAGGGAGGGAGGGAGGGAGGAAGAGAGGAAGAGAGGAAGAGAGGAAGAGAGGAAGTAGAAGACGGGGAGAGAGCAGTTGATTGGGAAGATTAATGTAGAAGGCCTTAGAGCCTGCGTTAGGAAGACGGCTTGTAGGACAAGCGAGTGGGTGTCAGACACACTCACCTTGGGCCGTCCCAAAGCTCTGTAGTGGGTCTGGAGTCTAGCCACTGCCTTGACTGCTGTGGAAGTCCTCCCAAATGCCCCCATGCTCCTCCTCCTCCCCCTCCTCACTTATCGAAACCATAACTCAGTGTCCTCCCTCTGCCTCTCTATTTTCCAGCGACTCTCCCTCCTCCAGCTCAAGTGCAAGCTTTCCGAAACACTCAGACCTCTGTCTCCCTTACCTGGGAGCCTGTGGATGGTGGCTCGGAACTCCTGGGTTACTACATCTACTCCCGAGAAGCAGGAGCATTGGAATGGCAGACAGTGAACAACAAGCCCATCCAGGACACCAAGTAAGTCTGGCTCACAGGCCGGGCGCTGCTGTAAGCTGTGTGTGTGCCTGTGTGCATGCCTGTGCCTGTGCATGTGCGTGTGTGTGTGTGCACATGTGAGCCTGTGCCTGTATGTGTGTGTGCCTGTATGTGTGTGCATGTGTGTGTGCATGTGTGTGTATGCGTGTGCATGTACATGTGTGTGTGTGTGTGCCTGTGCCTGTGTGTGTGTGTGTGTATGTGTGTTGTGTATGTATGTGCGTGTACTTTCAGCTAGGTTTGTGCCCAGGAGTGTGGCGGCCAGAAGTTAACATCAGATGTCTCCCACAGTCAATCTGTGTATGTATGTGTGTTCACGTGTGCGCATGTTCATGTGTGTGTGAATGTGTGTGTGTGTGCACGTGCCACCCTGCACACTTGAAGGTCAACCTTTAACGTTGGTCCTCATCTTCCAACTCATTTGAGACAGGGTCTCTTATTCACTACTGTGTACACCAGGCTAGCTCTCATGTTCACTGCTGTGTACACCAGGCTAGCTGACCTGTAAGTCCCGGGTAATTTTCCTACCTCGTTCCCCATCCTGCTTCTGAGTACCAGGATTTCAGACTACCACATCTGGCTTTTTGTGGCTGCTGAGGTGCTAAACTCAGGTCCTTCAGGCTTGGCCTGCAAGGCCTTCACCCAGTGAATCATCTCCCTAGCCCAGCCTTTAAGAAATGTTTTTAAATTATGTTTATTTATTAAGCTGGGCGCATGCTGAGATCAGAGCCTGTAGGAATTAGTTCTCTCTTTCTACCACATGGATCCCAGAAACCCAACTTAGGTGTTGAGGTTGAGTTCTCTGTCCAGCACCTTATCTAATCCTTTGAGGCGGGGTCTCTCAATGAACCTGGAGTTCACTGCTTGACTAGGCTGGCTGGTCGGTGGATCGAAGGGATCCTGTCTCTGCCCTCGCACATACCCCCTGAGCAGAAGTTGTACACATACACAGCCACACTCCACTTTTGTGTTGGTGAGAGGAACCAAACCCATTTCCTCAGGCATGCGTGCCACACACTTTACCAAGAGTGCCATCCTCCAGCCTCTCATCTTCACATGTGGATGAGAGATTCTAGAAGAACAGGTATTCTTTACAACCCTAAGGACAACATCCTCCATGTGCCATTCCATAATGTGTCACTATATACTGGAGAAATACTTTAGCCTAGAACCTTCTACTCCTATCCTGCTGGTGACCATTTATCCCACAAGGTGATTCAGATAATGTCACCTGTTTGGATGCCCCTGATGGCTGAACTTTTCTCTCCCAGGTTCACAGTCCCAGGACTGAGGACTGGGAAGGAATATGACTTTTGCATCAGGTCAGTCAGTGAGGCTGGGGTTGGCGACAGTTCAGCTGCAACACAGCCCATCAGAGTCAAGCAAGCTCTTGGTGAGTCCGGGGCAGCACCCACCTGCGATGCTCAGGCAAGCCCAGCCTGGGCAGGAGCCAAGGCCATGCCTTGGAAGGTCTGATTCCTATCCTCTCTCAAGGGAAACAGAGCTTTCTGCTCACCCTTTCCTTCAAGGAGAGAGGGACAGTGGCCTGAAGCCATTGTGTATACTGATCCTGGGCGTCTCTAGGCAGTGGGAAGGCTCCCAAGCTCAGAAGTGACACTCCACGACACCCTTTAAGGGAAGAAGACACTTTGGGCTCAGAGAGGACTCCTAGATCTGGGTGGGCACCCACAGGGAAGGTTCATCAGCTCCCTGGGGCCCCACTGCCCAGCCCAGCCACCCCAGGGGGCCCCCTCTTCTGTCCTTGCCTCCAACAGGCACCCCCTCGGCCCCATATGACTTTGCACTCCTAAACTGTGGGAAGAATGAAATGGTCATTGGATGGAAACCCCCCAAGAGGCGTGGAGGCGGCAAGATCCTGGGCTACTTTGTGGACCAGCATGATTCAGAGGAGTCAGACTGGCACCCAGTCAACCATCAGCCCATCCCAAGCCGAGTGTGCAAGGTGAGGCTGGATAATGCTTTCAGCCTTCATCACTACTGCTATGCAAGGTGCAAAAAAAGCATCCTGGGAAGCTTCTGGGTCCCCAGGCTCTGCCATCCAGTGGCCTCTGGGACAACCATATTGGAAGCTACCACAGGTCTCCTGCTCTGGCTGGCCCACTGCCACGGTGCACCTCCCCCTTCTCTGCCCCAGCCTCAGTTTGCACAGTCTGACTTTCCATCTCTGCAGGTCACCAACCTTCATGAAGGCCATTTCTATGAGTTCCGAGCCCGGGCCATGAACTGGGCAGGTATTGGGGAGCTGTCGGCACCCAGCAGCCTGTTTGAGTGCAAAGAGTGGACGATGCCAGAGCCAGGTAAGAGCCCGAGAGCCAACACTCAGACTTGTCCCCACCTCCCTCATCACACCAACAACATGAAAGTCTGGGAGGGCTCATGCTGTCTCAGATGGGGCGTGGAGAAGGTCAGGGAGGCTTCTGGGAGGAGGTGGTGCTTGCTGAGCGTATTTTAAACAGCTAACCAAACTTCATGTCCAAGGTCAAATAGTGTGAAACCAAAGCTGGCCAAGTCCCATACACCCAAGGAGGGCACTTCCAGACTTAGTGTTGGCTGACAGTCTGCCCAGCTTGTACACTGACTGCTGAGCTGGCCGTCCATCTGTCTGGCTAGAAAGCTGACCCGGTAGATGGATAGTTGGCTAGTTGTTGCCTGGCTGAAGAATTCCACATCTATGTTCCTATTTCATCCCTCACAGGTCCCCCATATGATCTGAGGGTGTCTGAGGTACAGGCCACCTCCGTGATGCTGCAGTGGGAGCCCCCACTGTATATAGGAGCCGGGCCAGTCACAGGCTACCGTGTCAGCTTCCAGGAAAAAGGCTCTGAGGAGTGGAAGCCAGTCACCCCAGATGTCACCTCTGACACCCACCTCAGGGTGAGTCCCTCCCGCTCTGTCCTCTCTACCACTGCATTTGGCAGAAGCATACAGCATGCAAACTTAAATGTTTCTCTGCAGGCACTTTACATAATAGCAGCAGAGGACCCAAGGTGGGGGGAGAGAAAGAGAGAGAGGGAGAGAGAGAGGAAGAGAGAGAGAGAGGAAGAGAAAGAGGAAGAGAGACAGGAAGAGAGGAAGGGAAAAGAGAGAGGGAGAGAGAGGGGGGAAGAGAGAGAGAGGAAGAGAGAGGAAGAGAAAGAGAGACAGGAAGAGAGAAAGGAAGAGAGAGAGGAAGCAAGAGAGAGAGAGAGGGGAAGAGACTTGCCCAGGGTCACATGGTAGTAGGTTTGGCTGGTTGGTGGCAATATCTACTCCATGCTAGACAGATACTTCCCTAAAAACTCACCTGAGAAATGGCCAGATATAGCAGCATTTAGACACATGCATCTTTTGACCCCCAAAATCTGGTTCTGTGATGAAAGCCAAAGGGAAACAACAAGGCATGTGTGCAGAGACCCAGGGCCAGTGGTGTGCACTCTTTATAATGGCAGTCATGTCATGGAAGTAACTTAATGTCTGTCACTGGGGGATTGGGTGCAGAACTAATTCATAGTGTGTCCTTCAGAGGAACCCAACAAGACAGTGCAGGGGAGGAGATGGTGCGGTCAGTGTATATATATTGATTGATGTGAAACATGTATCATATGTAGGAAGAAAAATAAAAAGTAACAGTGTGCGTAGACAGCATGTATCTACCGTGTCATATGATTACATGTGACTAAGCATACATGCATGCATATATGCTTTTTAATTAATTTGGTAATAAGAGTAAAAGCTCTGGCTGGGATTACAAACAGGTATGTACTCAGTTTATGTTCCTGGGTTTTCATGAGAAGCAAACTCCAAAATTTCAGTAGCCCAGGATAGATTGTCATATCACAGTGTCACAAAAAATACATGCAGTATCTGGTCATGTGACCTACAGTCTGTGGGCACATCTGGATTTACTGTGTAGTTCAAGATAGTTCTTCATCCAGTGTTTCCCAGAGAAGACAAAAGGTTTAACACTCCTGCAGGTCTCAGCCCTCTGGGTAACTTAGCGATCTTGAGGTGCCCTGATCCCTGTCCACTGTAGTCATGGCTATTTTAGCTTCTGTATACACAGAAAAGGAAAAGGAGTCCATGAAGATGACCTGCAAATATTTGCATGGGTCAGAACATGGGGAGGGGGACATCCAAGGAGCATTTGCAGACACAAGATGCTGACTCAGAAAACAGCTCAGAGCTTCAGGCAAGGATCTCAGCGGCCAGAGTGTCCTCATCCCCTAAAGCCATCTATCGGGTTTGGGGGCTTCCTCTGCTTAAGGCCAATCTACAAGGATAGGTCTGGGAAGAAGATTAATTTCACCTCCTACAGCTCAGAGGACACGGGTGTGGGGGTGAGGGGTGGGAGTGGGGTGTAGTGCTTACTTCCCCAGTGGCAGGAGGGTTTGTTCTTTAGGTTTCCAGAAGAGTCCTATGAGAAGAGAAGGCAGACTGAGGACTCCCAACAGGAAAAAAAACCCACAGTAGTGAATAGAATCTGGCATGTACCATGTCTCCAAAAGCCAATGCTGCCCTTGGTCCTCCCTGGGAGGGGACTGTGGGGAGAGGGAACTGCCAGGGAAGCTCTCATCTTTACTGCTACATTGTCTCTGACCGCTACCAACCAACCAACACCTTGTTTCTCTTATAGCCAGAAAACAATGAGGGGCTGGAGAGAGTGTGGCAGTTAAGAGTGCTAGCTACTCTTGCAGAGGACCCAGGTTCGATTCTCAGCACACACACGTGGCAACTCACAACTGTTTAAATCTAGTTCTGGGCCATCTGACACCCTCTTCTGCCTCTGTGGGCACCAGACATGCACAGGAGATACACAGATATACATACAGGCAAAGCACACACACACACACACAAAATTAATCTTTTTTAAAAAACCGAAAATTTGACTTTTATACAGATGAAGTTAAGGCTACCTGAGACAGTCAGGAGGCCTGGGAAAATTTAGCTTCAGGACATAGAAGCTGGGTGTGGAGGGGCATACTGTAACCCCAGTTCTGAGGAAGGGAAGGCTACGTAGTAAGTTTAAGGCCAATCTGCCTCAAAATAATAGTTTCTATAATAAATAGACGTGACATTTATGTCTTCTAGACACAAGTGTAGATAAAGGGTGAGATCAATAAACAGGCCACATGGAAGGAACACAAGCGAGGTAGAATTATATTAAGATAAATAGATGCGGACATTCCTAATTTAATGGATAAAAATCATTTGTTTGGAGCCTGGCGGTGGTGGCACACACCTTTAATCCCAGCCCTTGGGAGGCAGAGACAGGCGGATTTCTGAGTTCGAGGCCAGCCTGGTCTACAGAGTGAGTTCCAGGACAGCCAGGGCTACACAGAGAAACCCTGTCTCGAAAAACAAAAAAACAAAAAAACAAAAAAAAAATCATTTGTTTGTCTCGTAGCTAATTGATAGGTCATCCCTCTCAGTCTAGTCCACTTTCTAATTCACTCATAAACCAGGGCTAGCTCCAGAAGAGAACCCAACCTGCATGCAAGGGAGACAAAGTAGCAACTGAAAGAAATAGGAAGCAGGAAACAAGAACAGACTATGTTACGCCAAGTCCACAGTCACAGGATCTTGATTTCCCTGAGGACGTATTGAACTGGGGTTGTCAAAAAGTGATGCTAAGCTGGGCGTGGCAGCAAATGCCTACAATGCTAGCACTTGGGAGATGGGGCAGGAGGATCAAGAGTTCAAACTCAGCTGGGCTGTGATGGTACATCCCTTTAACCCCAGCATTTAGGAGGCAGAGGCAGGAGGATGTCTGTGAATTCTAAGCCAGCCTGGTCTACAGAGCAAGTTGCAGGACAGCCAAAGCTACACAAAGAAACTTTGTCCCAAACCACACACCCCCTCCCCCCCCCAAAAAAAAGACTTCAAGGTCAGCCTAGGCTACATAGCGAGTTTGAGACCAGCCTGGGCTACATGAAATCCTATATTCAATACAATCATGCCATGTGGAGGTGGCACATGACTTTGATCCCAGCACATAGGAGGGGAGGCAGAGGCAGGAGGATCTCGGTGAATTTGAGGCCAACCTAATCTAGAAAGCAAGTTTAAGGACAGCCAGGGCTACACAGAGAAACTCTGTCTCAAAAACCATAAATAAATAAATAAATAATAAATAAATAAATTCAGAATTAATATGATAGCTGATGGACCATTAATAAAGTTAACATTAGGTTAATTGTTTCTTTCTGGCTGTGTAATTGACTGATTGGAAGACAATTGCATTAACAAACACCAAGAAAAGTAGATCCTCATGAACACACAAAGACGTACAGGGAAAGCCTCTTATACCAACAAACGTCCCTGTCACACAGTCACACAGTGGCTTTGAAGCTGGAATGTTTAGATGATGTTAGGTCTGCCAGACACGGGCGTGTAGATGTAAGGTGAGATCAATAAGTTGGTAGAAGTTTGACATATGGGGGCGGGGTCAGTTTCTCCACAGCAGAGACAGCCGACTCACGGTAGATGGCCTGTGCTCTTTCCTGTGTGCTGGCCCAGGCCAGGCAGACGGCCTCGGTGACTTGGCCCTGGCTTCCACCTTGAAATGCTTGGCCACCACTCAGTAATTCACTACCCACTTCTTGACACATGCCTAGTGCCAGCTCTGGAGCAGGTCCCAGACCTTTTAAGCTAAAGATGCCATGGGCGTTTGTAACAGGTGACACCATCTGATGTTAAATGTACAACAGAGAGGAATCAGGAGGGACTCTCGGAGCCCCAGGGAGGGAAGTTGGAGTCGCTCCCTAGAATCCTCTCATAGGCCGCTGCTGGATAAGGAAGCCGGAGCTGGAGCTGAGTCAGTCAGACAAAGAAGGAAGTGGGGTACGGTGCTCTAGGCAGAGACCTCAGCAAGGGCGGAGGCCAAGGACCCTGGAGAGCTGCAGAGTTCTGATCGCTTATACAGGAGTAAGAGGCCAGAGGCTCAGGTGCCTTGGAAGACTTTAGGTCATAAGCATCAGACCTTGAAATTGACCCTGAAGATCACTGAAAGATTTAGGCACAGTCAGATTGGCAGAGGTAAAGGCACCCTGGAGAAAGGTCCAGGGAGCAGAGACACCTTTGAGGGAACTGTTGAACTAAACTTTGAGGGAAAGTATATATAAACCAAGGAGTAGAAGTCGGGTCTCCATCAGAGCACAGCTGGGACACGGACAGGAGAGCCTCCTCTAAGACGCATTAAGGAGCCACACTGGGCAGTGCAGACTGTAATCCCAGCTTCCCAGAAGGCTAAGGCGGGAAGGTAAATTCACAGCCTGCCTAGGCTACACCGCAAGCTCAAGGCCAGCCTGGGCAACTTATTGAGACCCTGATTCAAAATAAAATTTTAGAACTGAGGATGTGGCTCGCCACCTGCTGAGGATACACAAGGCTCTGTATTTGGCCCTCAGCACCATGTAAGCCAGGCATGGTGGTGTACACCTGCAATCTCAGTACCCAGGAGGTAGAGCAGAAGGATCAGGAGTTCAAGGTCACTCTTGACTATATGTCTGGCCTACATGAGACTGCCTCCAAATTTTAATTAATTTAATTAATTAACTTTGAGTCAGGATCTTGCTGTATAGCTCAGCTGGCCTGGAACTTACATAGACCAGGCTGGCCTTGAACTCATAGAGATCTGTGCCTCTGTACTAAGATTACAGGTATGCACCATCACATTCAGCCAATTTTTTTTTTTTATGTTAAGAATGTAACTCGGCCAGGCAGTGGTGGCGCACGCCTTTAATCCCAGCACTTGGGAGGCAGAGGCAGGTGGATTTCTGAGTTTGAGGCCAGCCTGGTCTACAGAGTGAGTTCCAGGACAGCCAGGGCTACACAGAGAAACCCTGTCTCCAAAAACAAAAAACAAAAAAACCCCAAAAAACAAAAAAACAAACAAACAAAAAGAATGTAACTCAATGGTAGAGTATTTGCTTAGTGTGTATGAGGGCCTGGGTTCAACCCCCAGGACTGCTGACAGGAAGAACAGAAATGACTTGTTTAGGGGTAAGAAAGGAACATGGCAGGTGACCCTGGTCTGCCTCAGCCTCTGAGGAGAAGGCAGTATCTGTGAGGTGATGGATACGGGAAGGGAGGGCTTTCTAGGTAGGAAAACAGTTATGTGTAATTGGGTTCCAGGCATCAGTGCCCAGAGGATAAAGCAGGGAGCCCTAGAGAATACTGGAACTGCTGGGCAGTGGTGGTGCATACATTTAGTCCCAGCACCTGAGAGGCAGATGCAAGTGGACTGGAAAGTTCAAGGTCAGCCTGGTCTACAGAGTTCCAGGACAGGGAAACCATGTCTTGAAAAAAAGGAGAGAGAGAAGGGAGGGTGGAAGGGAAGGGAAGGGAAGAGGAGGGGAGGGGAAGGGAGGGGAGGGGAGGGGAGGGGAGGAGAGGGAAGAAAAGAAAAGGAAAAGAAAGGAAAGGAAAAGGAAAAGGAAAAGGAAAAGGAAAAGGAAAAGGAAAGAAAATGGATCTGACTGCACTTGGGAAGCAGAGCCAAGAGAATCGGGAGTTCCAGGCCAGCCACAGATGCAAGTTCAAAGTCAGCCTGAGTTGCAAGAGATCCTGTCTTAAAACAAAACAAAAATCAGAACTGGGAAGCCAAGAATGCTACAGGCCTTTAGCCTGTAGAGCAGAGGGCAAGGCAAGAGAAGGATGCTCTCCAGGCCAGCCTGGGCAGCATAGAGCGGTCCTGTCTCCAAACAAAGACAAAACTGCCCTGGGTTCCAGGAAGAGAGTAGGTTCCTGGCCTGCGCCAGCCCACGAGGCTCCCAGCAGCTCCGGACAGTGCCCTCGAGGGTATGGCTCCAGCCAGCGTCTGTGAGGGTGTGGCTCCGGCCAGTGTCTGTGAGGGTGTGGCTCCGGCCAGTGTCTGTGAGGGTGTGGCTCCGGCCAGTGCCCGTGAGGGTGCAGCTCTCCACTCCTCAGGCTTTGCTCTCCTACCCCCAGGTATCTGACTTGCAACCCGGAAAACAATACATGTTCAGGGTCCAGGCCATGAACTCAGCTGGTCTGGGACAACCATCAGTGCCCACTGACCCCGTGCTCCTGGAGGACAAGCCAGGTAGGATGACCAGAGAGGACCAGGCTGCACTGAGGGAGCCTGGCAGCAGGAGGAGCTCAGGGGAAGACGGGGAAGCCTGGGGGTACAGATGGAGGCCTGGATCCAGTGGGCCCTGTTCCATCCATCCCTCTACCTACCCACTGCCATCTCAACTCTGCCTGATAGCTTGCGTCTCTCCCGCTCCGCCTTCCCCTCCCCACATGCGTCTTCCTCCGGCTGTGAGGGAGTCTTCCATGCCTTCTGCGCCTTATATATGAAGCCTTGAACCCAGCTCCCCCTCAGTCTCTCCACGTTGGCTTTGCCTCTACTGAGCTCGCAGGCCCTGTGGTCTCTCCTGCTATGCAATCCACAGTCGTTGCTCCTAGGTCCCTCACACAGTAGCACCCACTTTTAGTGCAAGACAATTAAACCACTAAGGCCCACAGGCAGCAGACAACAGACTCAGCCACACTCGTGACTATAAAGCACTTGTCTACCAAGCGTTCAATCAACAACTACTTGGGGAGATTCATGCGGCACCAGGGATGAGGAAGCAGAGCTCTGCTGTTTGGGGGGGGGGGAGATGGGGGCAGGGGGTGGACGGGCAGAAAAGGCAGATAGCAAAGTGGTCCATGAGGAAGTCTTAGGATAGCCAGGAGTAAGGCAGAGATACCCTTTAGTGGTGGAAGGCTTGCCTAGTTCTGGGTCTTGTCACAGCACTGTAGAGATGAAAAGAAAGAAGAGAAAAGGAATTTTTAAAGACAGGAGCCAGGTGTGGTGACACTCACCTGTAACCCTAGCACTCCAGAGGTCAAGGTTGTAGAATCATGGATAGCCTGGACTACATAGTAAATTCAAGGCCAGCCTGGGCTAATGCAGCAAAATTCTCTGTCAAAGAGAAGAATTAAGAGAGGCAGATAGAAAAAGGAGGAAGGGGAAGGAAAAAGAAGTGTATGTGTGGGGGGAGTCAGTCAAGAAGGACTTCTTGGAGGAGGTGGCACTTGAGTTGAGAATCATGAAAGGCTTTAGAGGTCACAAGAAGTCTGAGAGAAATCCCTGCTGTCCCTTCCTGAATCTCACCCCAGACGCCCAGGAGATTGAAGTTGGTGTGGACGACGAGGGCCAGATCTACTTGGCTTTCGAAGCCCCAGAAGCCCCTGACTTCTCTGAGTTTCAATGGTCCAAGGATTACAAAGGCCCACCAGACCCACAGAGGGTGGAGGTGGAGGATGAAATTAACAAGTGAGGGGGCGGGGTGGAGGCGGGGAGGGGCGGGGCGCAGGCGGGGAGGGGCGGGGCGCGGGGTGGAGACAGCACCCAAGGGCAGCAGAACTGGTAGGGAGACACAGGAGTCAGTCAGGGCTGCCCCGTCTGCCATGGGGTGCTGGCTGCTAGCTTGGAGAGGAGCAGGGGGCAGAAACGGAGGCCTTCTTTGGGATTCAGTTTTGATAAGCAGTCATGAGGTCCGCTGCCTTAATTTCTGAAGCAGACATGGAGTCACTGGCTGCTCCGTTGTAGAGCGTGTGCCACACTGCCGCTCTGGAGGGGACCTCAAGGGGATGCAAGGGTCCAGCTTAACCAGGACCTGAGAAGGAGCACAAGTCACCAAAGCTCCTGTCCCTCAACTTTCCCTGCTGGCTTATCCCCCTCTCCTCCCAACATGCCTCTGCCACAGGCTGTAAGGGAGTCTTGTGTTTTCAAGATCAAAGCCCCATCTCGGAGGTCAGCTTACCTCTCTCCACCAGGTCCAAGGTCATCCTGAAAGAACCTGACCTTCAGGACTTGGGTGTCTACTCAGTGGTGGTCCCCGATGCCGACGAAGACACCTCCGCTAGCCACACACTGACAGAGGAAGGTAATGAATGGCCTTCTGCCCTGACACCTCCTCAGGGAAACAGATCCTGACCAAGCACCGGTGCTCATAGACGCCAATCGGACACTGAGGCTCAGCCCACCCAGAGCTGAGCACTAGTGTGTTCCCTCCTGCAGAGCCTGGCTGGAGAGATGCTCCTCAGGAGACAGAGAGCATATGCGAGCATGGGGTGGCCTTGAGTAGCCTCAGCATCTACCATAGCGCCCCAGGAGCAGAGCCCGCTGTGCTTACCAGCACTCTCTGTGGAGCACGTGGCCCCTAGCTGATGGCACTGTGGAGCTCTCTTGGAACGTCTCAGCATGGAGGCCCCAGGCTGGCTGCATTCAAACTTTGTGACCTAACGTTGTATCTGTTTCCTTCCATGTCCCTCTCCGCCCCAGAGCTGAACAAGCTGAAGAAGTTGAGTCACGAGATCAGAAACCCAGGTAAACACTGAGGCGCCACCTCGTTCCTAACGGCCTGGGAACCTGTGCTGTGCAGGGCTGACTCGGGCAGAGAGCAAGGATATAACCCGAGAGTTAGAGAAAGGGGAGTCACAGGCTGGGAAACCAGAGACTAGAGGCCAAGGACAGCCAGTAGGGAGCCAGAGAGGTGCAAAGGAGGGAAACAAGGCAGCTCTTATCAACGAGAGTGTCTCCATCATCACCACCATCATCATCACCACCATCATCATCATCACCATCATCTCCATCTCCATCTCCATCATCACTGTCCCATCAGCTCTTGAGACATCTGAACATTAGATCATCTAAACCTCTGCTTCCCCCCCCCCCTTTGTCTCCTGGATGGTGGAATCCTTAAGGCCAGTCAAACACTTGATCACATATTGGAATCACCTTGTGAACTTTCCCAAATCCCATGCCAGGGCAGGCTCCAGACAGGTCAGAACGGGCAGGGTGAAGCCAGACACCAGTGTTTAAGGTCCCTTGAAGAGGAAATGCGGTTCTGAAATCAGTTCAGTCTATGGAGAGCTCCAGCCAGGCCCAGCTCCTTCAGACTCCGCTAGTGTTTCCCCGTATTCACTGACAAGGCAGAGCTGGGTGTGAGGGGCGGGGCTGAGAGGCTGAGTGGGCGGGGCCAGACAGAGGGGCTGGGCAGATCCGAGGGAGTGCGGAGAGGAGAGGGCTCCCACCCACACCCATCCTGTGTCTCCCAGTCATCAAGCTGATCTCTGGCTGGAACGTGGACATCCTCGAGCAAGGTGAGGTGCGGCTGTGGCTGGAGGTGGAGAAGCTGTCGCCCGCCGCAGAGCTGCACCTCATCTTCAATGAGAAGGAGATCTTCAGCTCCCCGGTAAATGGTGCCCACAGTCCCTGGGAGGCTCCCCTGCCCCAAGCAAGGGCCTCACCCATGAGCTGGGGCCTGGAGCCAGCTGTCATTTTAGTAATAGCTGCCGCTTTGGCTGTCCCTGCAGTGGAGAGTGCTGGCGAGGTCGCCTGGCTTTCAGTATGGGGGCCGGGGTGAGGGGGCTGTCACTAACCAGTGCGGGGACATTTCTACACCCACCGCCATTTTCAAATGTCCTTCCCAGCATCTCTGAGATGGGAAAGACTATGGGGCTGACAGTTTTCCAAGCCTCAACCTCTGCTGTAGACGTAAATATAAATCAGTTCTTACAGCCTAACAAACACCCAGGGAGGGGAGGAGGCCGCTTCACAGTGCTGTTAGCCTTCCTGTTCCAAACTTTTGCTTTCCCCTCTCATTACAAATCAGAACAAGGGGCTGAACCATAGGTCAGGGGCACTGCACTGTATCCGAGAATCTACAGCCAACACACACGGGGTTTAATTTTGAATGATATTGGTACAAGAGTGTTACACTGTTTTCGTTCTAATGCTTAAGGATGGTAAATAGGTTTGTTAGAGCAGGCTATTGACATTCAATTGTGTTTACCTGAAAATCCGTGGATTTCAGTCTTATGACTGTGTCCTGTCATTTGTGAATTTCATCTCCAGGATGGCAAAGCATTTATCAGAATTCGTGGATTAGGGCTGGGGTACAACTCAGTCCCAGAGCTCATACCTAGTGTGGGCAAGAGCATGAGTTAGAACCAGAGAAGGGAGGAAGGAGGGAGGGAGGGGACAGAGTGGGAGGAGGGAGGAAGGAAGGAGGGGGAGGAAAGGAGAGTGGGGAGGGAGGGGGGAAATGAGGGGGAGAGAGGGGGGTAGGAGGGAGAGAGAGAAAGGGAGGGAATATATCTTCCAGAGAAAGAGATGACCAGCCCTGGTGCCCAGTCTAGCATGTGTGTGCTCGTTCTCTCTCTCTCTCTCTCTCTCTCTCTCTCTCTCTCTCTCTCTCTCTGTCTCTCTCTCTCTCTCTCTCTCTCTCTCTCTCCCTCCATCTCTGTGTCTGTGTCTACACACCAGGGCAGGTTTTCCCAGGATCAGAAGAAGCAGACCAGGGAGTATATTTGAAAGCTGTGTGTAAAGAGTACACATTACATTGAACCTGCTGCACGTTCTTATAGGCACTGTAAGGTCTAAGGCAGAGATTCTCAAGCTGTGGGTCTTACCCCTTTGAGGAGTTGAATGATCCTTTCACAGAGGGGCTGAAGACCATGAAAAAACACAGATATTTACATTATGATTCATAACAGTAGCAAGATTACAGTTATGAAGTAGCAACAAAATTAGCAACATAATGAAGACCTGTATTAAAGGGTCCCAGCATTAGGAAGTCTGAGAACCATTGGTCTAGAGGTTTCAGTGGACATTGGTTGAGTCATCGGCCAGGTAGGTCCTTCCTTCCCTTCTAGTATCACACATGCAAATAGAGCCAGGGTAGTAAGGACAGAAACACAGAGAATAAAACCTTTACGCTGTTAGGGTGCAGCGAAATGTAGATGGCTGTTAGTTCTGCAGAGTGGGTGTTACAGCACAGGAGGAATGCTGGGTAAAGCCAGCCTGTGACCTCATCCCTCAGGAGGTCAAGGTCATCCTCAGCTACAGGGCAAGTTTGAGGCCAGCCTCGGGTACCTAAGACCCTGCTTCAAAAAATATGGGGGCCCCAGGGAGCTGGAGAGATTGCTCAGTGGTTAGGGGGCACCAGCAAAGGTTTGGGTCCCAGTACCCACATGGCAGCTCACAGTCTTCCTTAACTCCATTTCTAGAGGATCAGATGTCCTCTTCTGACCTCTGTGGGCACTGTGTGTGCATGGTACACAGACACACAGACAAAACCCTGTACACAGAAAATAAAAGTAAAACTTTTAAGTAAAAACAAACAACAACAACTCGGGGTGGAAGAGAGATGGCCTAGCAGGTAAAAGCACATGCCACCAAGCCTGGTGACATCAGCTTAATCCCCAGGGTCCACATAGAAGAAAGAGAACACAGAACTGACTTCTGTAAGAAGTTCACTGTGCCGTAGCCTATGCACACCACACACACAACACACACAACACACACACCGAATTAAAATGTAATAATTTTTTAATTTAAATTGTAAAAGAAGTTGAAAATAACCAACAATGAGACGCAGTACAGCTACAGAGCTTACTATTAAATTATAATTAACATGGTATGCTGGGATTCCCAGTTTATTGAAGCAGGAAAAAGCTACCAAGAACGTCTCCCCAGTCCCTGGAGGTTGACTGTTCTGCACATAGCCCCCGAATCTTGATCATATCCTGAGGTGTGCCCCTCAACAGAGTTCCCAGGACAGGGAATACCCAAAAAGGACTCAGGGATTTGTTCCACCAGAACCGCAAGATCAACTTTGACCGAGAGAAGGGCTTGGTGGAAGTTATCATCCAGCAGCTTTCCGAAGATGACAAGGGGTCCTACACCGCCCAGCTCCAAGATGGAAAAGCCAAGAACCAGATCACCCTCGCCCTCGTGGATGATGGTCAGCCTGGCCCCCGCCACCCTACCCCACCCCCCACCACCACCCCTCCTCTCCGAAGCCCCGCCCCACCAGCGTGAACCCGTCCTTCTAGTGCTCTGGGCTAAGCACATCCCAGTCTTCCGTCCACCCCAGTTCCCTTTGCTCTCTCCACTCATGCCGTTTCCTCCCCGTGTATTCACAGATTTTGACAAGCTTCTGAGAAAGGCAGACGCAAAGAGAAGAGACTGGAAGAGAAAACAGGGTAAGCCATTGATCAGTGCTGAAAAATACCAACCCAGCCAGGGAGGTTCACCATGATCTTGTCAAGTCCTGCCCTGATAACAGAACAAAACTTCATTTCCCAAGCCCGAGGCCAGCCAGTGTCTCCTTAAAGTTCTTAAAGGAGACCCCAGGTCCCTTGCTCCCCACACCGCAGTCCTTGCCCTGGTCTTAGAGAGTCTTTGGCGGTCTATGGCCCAGCTAGTTTTCCATGACTGACCACCAGGTGGCGCCCCGGTTCAGCTTAAAGCTCATGGGTTTGCTCTTTCCTCTTCAGGTCCCTATTTCCAGGAGCCTTTGACCTGGAAGGTCACAGAGGACTGCCAAGTGCTTCTGACATGCAAAGCAAGTCTATACCCCACCTCCAACTCAGCCAGTGAGGCATGACCTGTGACTTGTCCCCAAGCCCAGTGCCGATCCTTGCCAACTCCACCCTGGGATTCTGTCTCCTGTGACTGGCTGATCCCACGCCTGGAAAGTGGCCCCTGGGAGAAAGAGTGCACATACAAAGACACACACACACACACACACACACACACACACACACATTCATAGTTCCCTTAGGTCTCTAGGAAATCACGGTACAAGGCAGAATTACTAAAAAAGACGTGCCTTATGCTTGATCAGATACATGCAGGAAATTCATTAAGTATGAGGCAGAGCTATGCACTTCAAGGAGGACTTCCTGGAGGAGGTAACATCTGACTTCATCAAGAGGCTTAAGTATTCACACGAAAAACAGTGAAAAAGGTCAAGAGGCAGGAAGTGACATTAGCAAAAGTCAGGACCCAGAGGCCAGCACTTGAGACATAGGACAAGGAAGGCGTCAGCCAGCTTTAGTGCACCAGGAGTCTCAGTGGTGGGCCATGTGGGAGGAGCCGTGTAAAAGAATATGGGGTTTGATTTTAAAATGGAAAGTCTGATGGAGCTCCCTCATGCCCTGTCCTCCTCAGGTAACCAACACGAAGAAGGAGACTCGCTTTCAGTGGCTCTTCCAGAAGAAAGAGGCACCCCGCGGGCAGTACAACCCGCAGACCGGGGATGGGAGTCTCTCCATTGAGGGGGTAAGTGCAGGTGGGACTTGGGGTTCACCCCGCTCAGCTGCCCACTGAATGGTGCCGAGAGCACTGGGCAGAGCCTGAGCAGAACTGGTCACACGGGAGCGCCAGAGCACAGGCAAGTGCAGGGTTTGGAGACCAGGCTCAGAGTTCAGAGCAATTGTTGCTGCCAACCCAAATCATTCCAATCCTTAGCACCGACCTGTCCTCACAGCAGTCTGTAGCTCCAGTTCGCCCTCTTCTGGCCTCTGTGGGCATTACACCCACACGGTGCACAGACATGCATGCAAGCAAACACTCGCTCATACACATAAAATTGTTAAAGAGAATGTTTTTTAGAAGATAAATACTAGGACCTGAGAGTGTGATTCAGCTGGTAGAGAGCTTGCTAAGCCCCCACAAAACTCTTTGTTTGTTCCTCAGCACCACAGAAATGAAGTATGAAAGCTACATGTGGTGTTTGAGGCCAGCCTAGGCTGTGTGTCTTAAAAATAAATAAATAAAAAAGAATAAAGCCGGGCATGGTAGCTCACTCCTTTAATCCTAGCACTGGAGTGGCAAAGGCAGGAAGAGTTCTGTGAGTTCGAGGCCAGCCTGGTCTATAAAGTGAGTTCCAGGACACTCAGTCTCTGTCTTGCAAAACAACAACCAAAAAAATAATAACAATTGGATTAAAAATAAACAAACAAACCATACTAATTTATGCATGTTTAAAACTCAAAATTAACATTAAAAACCAGGACATAAATGTTTCAAAACATAGGCCCATTATTACTTATTACTGATTTGTTTTCAAGCCTCAGGATCCAGGCCTGGTTCTGGTCCAGCATTTGCAGCCTTAGGCTAGTCACTGATCCTCTCCGACCTTACTGTTCTCTGTGAGGTCCCTGCCCAAGTCTGGGGTTGAGGACAGGAACGATGTGCCCCAGTGAGTCAAGTCAGAGAAAGCAGGCTTGGGGCTGGGTTTTTTCCTAGGTCCCTCCACATACCCCCAGAGGACTAATACCTCCTAATGCAAGGCTGACCTCCTGCTGGGGACACTGGGCAGTTGTTCACAGGTTCTTACTAGGAAGGAAATGATAAGTTAAGGGTCTTCTCTCACGTCTTGTTTGGGACATGCTCCTGAAAAAGAATGTGACATTCAGTGGGTGCTTAATATTCATGGCGTCTTATGGGCGGGGCTTTCTGGCTCTCACAGTGTTAA